TATTTGAATAATTAAGTTTAGATTCTGTAATTGGATACAATTTAAGTCCACTCATTTGTTGCTCAATGAGACACGTACATTGCTTTCATCGATTTTTGATTGTTTAAATTATTTTTAATAGTTAAATGCCATGTTTCTTCCTCTGCATATAATTATGGTTCCTAACCTGTGCGACTTGCAGGAGCCCTCGCCGGTAATTGCATATCGTATCGTATCGTGTTCCACATCCACTGGCCACTCTAAATGCTCCAATCAATGCAATTAAAGTAAACGTCTGCTGACTACATTGAAAATTTGCTGCCTCCCCTGCCTTTATAAATATACCACATACATATATACCCTGATTCCCAGGTAGCTTTATTTGTGTTTTTATATACATTACTATATACATATATATGCTATAATGGTGCAGACATCGCGTGACCTGTGCTAATGCATTGCCGCGCCCCAAGAGCTTCGAGGGTGAGTGGAAAACAGGGACTTTTCACAACCCTTTTTCCAGCGCAGCACGTGATGTCCCAAGGAAATCTGGCTTAAAAACAAAGAGAAAAACAACAACAAGAAAAGCGAACTCAATGCGTAAACACTAAAGTTTAATGCACTCTAATTGCAGAGCGGGGTTGAAGAAGAGGAAAAATGGAAAGGAAAAGCGGAAGTTCGCAGACGACAAAGGCAACACACGCTGACATTTTCGCATAAAAAACTTGGAATATTTTACACAAAGAGAATATGTAAGGGATGGACAAAGGTGAGAAATGGTCTGAAATTAAACAAAGAAATCTTCTGAATATAATATATAACCCGAAATTCCAATTTTTTGCAGTAAAAGCTAGTTAGATTTACTTTTGTCATGAAATTTGTTATTCTGATCTTGTTGGTCAGCCTTTTTTTAAGTTTGAACAAAAAAAGCTAAAATAACAAGGATTTTGTCCATAGAATTGCTTTCGAATGAACACTGGAGATTTTTGATTATTTAAGCTTACATTTAATAATTTATTAATGCCTTGGAAGTATCTCTCTTAAAGCTTTTCTTTTCTTAATATACTTTGTCAGTCTTGCAAATAGAAATAGATACAATACATGTCTAAAACTCCACTTTTCTTTGCCCAGTGTAATAGAGGAAGAGCAAAAACGACCGTCGACGTCGTTTGCTATTATCCTGCAGAAAGTTGCGTGTCTGCTGCGACACAAAAGTTCAATTACTTCTTGGAACAAGAGGGTCCCCAAGACCAAGAGAGGTGAATAAACAGTCAGCGGATATCCGGCTCCTGCATTGCGTGCCAAATCCCTACCTCTCTAATGACCATTTTCCCGCTAAATGGCAATGGCAGTCAGTTGCCATCTGAATTGACTAATGCCTGATCTTAATGATTTATTTGCAGTGTCCCAGTATAAATTGGTGGCAGAGGTAACTTGCCTCTGATTGGCAACCAGGTAAACCGATCTGAACGACACCCAAGGCGCTCTGTGTCGAGTGGACACTCAAAATGGAATTACTATCAAAATGCTTTTTGTGCCTGATTTATGGTAAAGCGATTTACGGTTCGGTTACGAGCACGGGTAGTGCAAAGTGCAATCGCAAATATTTGCACTGCAGAATGACCACAAAGGGATCTAGGGAAGCTGATTGTATAGGAAACTAAGGGATACTCTTTTATTTTAAAGAGAAGTTAAACAATCACCAAAGAATGTGTTTAAATTTGTTTGAAGAAATCAAAAAGCGTTTTCCAGGTTTCATTTTCCAAGACTTTAATTTATTTTTAGTATATTTTTTACTATAACCACAATATATTCTCTTCATTTAACCCTGACTAGCACACCGTTTCACATAGTTTCCAGCCAAAGCCAAGGCAACCTAGGCGGAAACTAAGCCCGAAACCAAGCCCAAAACCAGTCTAGGCCAAAAGCAACTGTTTTGGCATTTGGATGACTAAGCTGGATTCTATGTTTTTTTTTGTCAGACTTTCAGTGTGCACGTTGCAAGTGCCAAGTCAAATTGTGTGGTCATTTATTGCTAAAGACTCACGGGGGGAGGAACCAGACACAGACACAGAGGTCAAAAGGCAAGATAGAGGGAAAATATATGTACAAGGAAAATAGAGAGTCAAAAGGACATGCGACTGCAGCAACTGCAGCAGCTAATAATCATGTTTCAGTTTTCCTACATTTCAATTTTGGTTCAAACGACTGATAGAAAAAAACAAGAAAGCCCCACAAAGGGCAGGGTCAGACCTTTACTAGCGGTCTAAGGCATCATTAATTTGCACCTATTTCCAATGCCAGGAGCCAGGTGACAACTTCCGCCTGCTGTCCTTTCTGCAAAGTAAATTATAAATTTTATTTCCATTGCCTGACCGAAAAAAAACACAAGAAAAAATAATAAAAAATGTCCAGTTTGGAGGTCCTTCTAAGGGGGATTTTCAGTTTCTGTGTTTTTCATGCCTGATGTAGGATAGTCACGCGACTTGGCTTTAGTGGGGGAGTTCAGTTTTGACAACATTTTCCTTTTAGCCGCCAAAAAGGATTGTCTTCTCCAGCCCAGTCCAGCCCATTTTTCAGCCCGTTTCACTGAAATTTTCCAACCTGCGCCCTCAGCTAATCAACTTGTTATATATTATGCGTATTTGCATTAATAACATATCGCGAAAGGTGTTCTCCGCCCTCTCTCTCCCCTTCTTTTTAGGCTTGCTTTTCAGCTTTTCCGGTCTCGCAGCACGAAGTAAATGACAATTTTGTCGCTGCATACTTCTGGGGATTAAGAAACGACACCAAATGTGTGTGCGTGTGCGTGTGTGCTTTGGGGTGTTCTTGGTGTATTGTTCAAGGGTTCGTTCCTCTTCTCGGCGGGATTACATGGAGCTTAGCTTGGCTCAGCCGGAACACTGGTGCGGCATGTGTCAGGTTCCTGCAAAGGGAACATGTTTATGGCCAGGATCTGTGGCTTACTAACCATAAAGCATCGAAATTCGATCGAGATTGGCTGACATTGGAAGAAAAACCAGTAGAAAATTGTATATTAATTATATTTATTTTTATATATTATTTGCTTTTAATAATTTCTTCGAACCTCCTTGCCTGACTCACAATTAAAGTTCTAATTTCGTATTCAACTAGCCGAGAGTGGCCACAAAATGCCATCATAGGGGGGCCTTTTAATTGTGCAGGCATTTTCAAAAGGGGCAGTCTATTCGGGCTTTTGTGAATTTTAATGTTGAATAAAAGCATTTGCCGTGTGTTTTTTTTGCCATTTTGGCAAATGTATCGGGGTATTGGTGTGCGTGTGCCCATCTGTGTTGGCTGCTTTTCAAGGCCGTCGTACAGAAATTACAGTCACGCGTCAGATTTTATGCAAAGCAGTTGAGCTCAGTTTCTTTTTTTTTGTTCTTGTCCTGTGTTTGTGCACTTTGCATTTGTTGTTGTTGTACCTCTTATATAAGTGCCAAGTGGATGTGTGTTTGTGTGTGCTTAGCAAGTGGGCGTGGCTGTCTATGGCTTTGAAAGTCATAAATTTCAAACAAGTCTCGTAAAATCTCAAGTGAACTTAGCACTTTGCAGTCGGTCCGTCGCGTTGCACATTTTGGTCCTGTGGCGAATGCAAATGAGCTCTGGCTTTATAACTCAGTCTTTTTACCCCCAAAATGCTGTTCATATGGTCTGGTGTAAGTAGAGATGCTTAAATGGACTTAAAGAGTATTTAAACAGGGCTTTAAATTCATTTTTTGTACTGATTTATAAGGCATGTCAAAGTTCACAGTGAGTATAGGTCTTCATTTCCTCTTCGTTGATTCGCAAATCAAAAAACTTAAGAAACGTTTCATTAGATGAAATGGCATTGCAGAGTACCTAATAGATAAAGAGGATCCCCATCAAACACAGAGTTATGGCTTGTTTTGTGGCCAAGATCAAAGTGTATATCACATAAAAAATGACAGAATATTAAGGCAAATGGCCAAAGAAATCTCGATTCGTAAACTTTTCCTCCTTATGCTATTTGTTTCCTCGTACATTTTTTTTATTGACCCTTAAAATGCAAATAAGTTTAGACCCATATGTGTGTACATCTACATACAAACTTATATAGAGAGCCACACATGTGTGTTCAAGTTATAGTGTTTTTTATTGCCTACTTTTGCGGGCCATGACAAAACTGAGCTAAGCCGAGCCTCACCTTGTTTGATGTGCTTCACATTTTTTTTGTGTGTGCGGGGTGTTTGTGTCTTTTATTTTTATAACTATTTGCCAGCTGTAAATGTGAGAGAGGACAGAGCCAAAACAAACAGCGAAGCAGGAAGAGCGGCACTTTAAAAAGGACATGAGACCAGTGGCGGCTACTTAGCAGCTTAAATGGGGAATATTTTTTAGGGACTTGCGTCTCGCAGCCTCTGCTTGGATCTGCGTCCTATGTGGCTAATGATGCCCGACATTCGACCGACTTTCAGCCGCCTTTCACCCGCATTTCAGCTGACTTTTTCCCGTCTTTCAGCCGACTTTCAGCCTCCTTTCCCTCTTTTGATAAACGTTAGCCGCTGTTTGCCCGTTTCGCTTCTTTTATTGCGTTACGTTTTATGGGTCGAAGATGTTGAAAGGACGAAACCGGTACATAAACAAAAATGGAAGAAAAACTGTGGGATATCGAAGATAAAAGTACCCTTTAGGAAGGGTTTTAAACGAATTTTCTATGTAAGGTAACAAAATCGTTCCTTATTAAGGTTTTGAATGAAGCCTGTTCTTATTAATTCTAAATGAAATTTAATATTCTGTCTTGTTTACTAGTTTAAAAGCTCTCTTAATCATCTTTGCTTTATAATCAATTCTTTTCGCCAGAAATGAGATGTTTTCCGGAAGCATAATTGGATTCTATTTATATTTTCTTTTCCAAATTTAAGTAATATTTTCGGTTGAAAGGCTGTACCACAAGAAATTAATATACCTTTTCCGTAGAGCTACCCAAATGACTCTGTTTTCTTATGCTTGCTAGATGTTTGGCATTTTGTACTCACGATTTTATGGTGCAGCGCCGAGAGTTCGCGCTCGGTGACCCGTCGGCTGGCTGCCTCCCGGCGGCGCTGGCGAAACTGGCTGTATTTGTAGGCGAGCATCACGCCGGGCAGGGCCAGTGCCTCCAGCGGGGATTTGCGGCCGAAGGGCATCCTACAGCTGGGCTCGGCTCGGTTCCTTGAGGTCCTGTCGCCCCTCGGGGTATTTTTTTCTTTCTTTCTTTTTCTTTTGCGGGCTCTTCTAGTCGCCCCTTTTAGTCGCTTGGGCTGGGAGTTACTTGTGGCGAGTTGAGATATTGCTTGCTGGTTTTCATACACTTGGCACTTTGCTTTTGCGGCGCGAGTACGCGGGGACTTCTTCCTTTTGACTTTGACTCTTAGCAGCGTCTGCGTCTCATTATGTAATCACAACATGGACACGAACAACACGGCACTGGCAGCATTTCGCTTGGTATTATTGGACCTTTGCCCATGCTTAAAGTCGTATTTGGCTTTCACTTTTCTTTTTCCTTCGCATGCTGGGTCTGTGTTTTTCCGAATTGCCGCTGATGAACTGCAATCAATTTTGCATCCTGGAAAAATTGGTTTCGATGATTGCAAACCGAGTGCTTTGATTTCGTTGAATTTTCAATGTTTTCCCCTAAGGGTAACGATTTGGGGATAATGGGAAATGGAACTGAAGTTTTTATTAGATTTAGTTTGATGAAAAAACCTATTTTTGGAGGGAGTTTAGGGTTGAAACTATTCAAGAGTATATGAAGATTGAATGTTACTGATTGAAGATGGCTTAGAAAATGGTTTTCATTTATTTATAACGTGTTTATAATTCTAAACTGAATTTTAGCGACTTGGAATCTTGTATTGGAAGTCAAGAGTATGTTATTGTACACCTGAATCACAAATATCAGGTATCTTTTCTCACTAAATCTTTTCCAAAATCACCTGGGATTTTATACTGTAGACACTTCAGTACTCATAAATAAATAAATATATCTGTGCCCTGGGGCAATGTTGCTTTCACATTCTCTATTCTCCCTGGACAATTTTCACACCTAACTGTCACACACATCAATTTAGCTGATGAATTTCGCTAAACTTTGAGTGATATATGCGGGGAGATGACACTTTAATAAAGCAAAGTGACGGGATTTCTTAAAGACTTTCAATGGTATTCACCAAGAACCGGAATTACAGGACCACAACTAAGGCGCACAACGATCATTAATTACAATTACATGGCGGAAAAATGACACAAAAGGCAGAATCACAGGGCTTGACACGCAAAATTGGCCGACTGATTACAGGCTCTGGGGCTTTTTATTTATAATATGTGTGTTCTGGGGGGTTGGAGCGATATATGTGTGGAATGTGGTTTGAATATGGCAGAGATGTGACACTGTTATTACACCGTAACTGAGAGTTGGCCCACGTGCACTTGGGGCCAACGCAGAACGGTGAATGTCGCAGAGCAGTTTCGCCAATTTCCCACGCAACCGTCGTGGAAGCTGCGTGAGCTTGACGCGTTTTTCCAGGACGAGAGTGTGATTGAGAGAGAGCGAGATGTGTCACTTCCAATGCCTCCGTTTTGTTTACGCTAAATGTTTGTGCTCGAAATCAAATAAATTTGGCCAGGTGAGTCGGCTTTTAATTGATTAGCTGCTACGTCGTAACAGATTTCAGCGGCGATAGGTGAAAGTCAACCGTTTTGCAGCGAATTAACTCACGAGATAAAGGTGATAGTTTTTCACATTACGTATACGCCGCGTATGCTGCCGTATTGTACAACCTGCACCGTAGCGCCTGTGAGTGCGACTGCCTGCAAGGATTTTCCAGAGGCAATTTTTTGGGATAGTTTTCCCTTTTGGCTGGTTAGCGCAGGCGCTTTCACTCGCTTGCCGGCGACTTTTTGGTATAACAGATTGCGTATACGACCCGTGCGCCACCACCTTTCCCTCAACCATGTTGCCAATTTATTGTTTACTCCGCTTTCTCTCTCTCTCTTAGTCAGTCAGTTAGTAGTAGTTTATTTTGCTTTCCTCTCCACGTCACGACATTGCCGAGAGCCGTATAAACAAATCACAAAGTTTGAGGGCAGCTTTCGCCACGAGTTTTTCCTTCAAACGGATATTGCGTCCAGTTTGCCACTGTTTTTGTTGCGGTTTTGTCAGCTCGAACAATTGTGTTCGTTCAATTTTATGTGCCACTGTTAATTATGGTCAGCCATTTGGCCCTTGTTCGGCTAATTGCTGCGGTTTTTATCACGTCTAGTGTGCGATTTGCATCTGACGGAGTCGAGTAGTTCATATGGCGGAATGTAAATGCATTCTATATGTATAGATGTTTTTATACCCTTTGCAGGGTATTATCATATCAGTCAGTAGCCTGAAGCATAATGAAGGAATCATTTCCGAACCCATAAATCACATATATTCTTGATCAGCATCGACAGGCGATCGAGCCAGCCAAGTCTTGAAAAAACAATTTTTTGATCTAATTTTTGAAAATTTTATAAGGGGTTACATGGTTAAAATTTAAAAAATCGATAAAAATTTTAATTTTTTTAAAATGCTTAATCTAGTATGCAGATTTTTTAACCTCATAAAAACTAGAACAGAACAGTTTTCCGATTTAAAATTAATTAATTTTTGACTTAGTAATGATCACTTTACACTTTGATCAAAACCCAAAAGGGTATCAGACTTCGACTTCCAGAGTCAGCTTCTCTTCTTGACTTAGACTTTTTTTTTGCAATTTATATACATAGGTTAATTATTTGTTATTTCTTATTATTTAAATTATAAAAAAAGTTGTTAGAAAGCTGAGAGACTTAAACAAGAAGACGAAGAAGTTGGACGGCATCAGGAAGTGGATAATTTTGGGAACCAAAGAGCGATATAAATTTATTCTATAAATTAATATAAATTATAAATTTTTTTCGAATAATTACAATTGATTCTAGCTAGTCTGATTGGTGTGGTTAAGATTCTGTTAGCCTCAGTAAAAATAACATATTTATATACATATGAAGGAAAATACATGACTTTACTATATATTAAAATATGTACTTATTTCTGAATAAAACTAGCCCAGAAAACTTGAAAGCAACTAAGGTAGTTCCTATAATTCATATTAAACAACTTTAATTAATAATTACAGGATACAATCTCGATATTATTTAAATAGAGTAGGCTTCCTCTCCGCTATCATAGCAGGAAACTCATCGTAAGTTAGTCACTTACAATGGGCACAGGTGCTTTGCAGATCAATAGGTGTTAAGGGCGCAGGTCAGCAACAACAAACATAACATACAACAACAAATCGGCTAACAAGTAGCCAAGTGAAATTGCCAAATGTTTGGGACGTGGGAAAAGCAAGGCCTAGGCGCAAAGGCAAATGAAAGCAGAGCAAAGTCAGAGCCAAAGTAAATAACTGGAAGTCAAAGGCAAACAAAAGGTGTTATACTCAGAGAGCGGTGGCTATTTGAGAGAAATAGAGAACTTGGGAGAGAGAGAGCGAGAAAATCTCGCTCCTTGCGGCTTGGCCTGCTTTTGTGAAATTGCAAAGGGGGAAAAAACGTGGAGGGGAAAATTGTTTGGCGACGCCATGGAAATGATGACGTAAATTGAAAGCCAAAGATGCCACGGCAACGGATTCTATTTGCAACTCCCCCCGGCGGCCGTGCTCCTGCTCCTGCCACCTGCTCTTCCGCCCTCCAGCTGACAGGTGTTCAGCAGTAGTTCTGGGCAATCTCTGAGTGCATATTTGTCGACTCACTGAGTGCACTTCTGAGATACAGATACGCGTGCCGTCGCAAATGCAGATACTGGTACTTTGACTTGGACTTGCCGTAATGACATTCCGCTGACAAAGGACTCGCATTTCCGCTTAAATGCATTTTCCAACCCATTTTCTGTAGCATTTTCCCCAACACTTTATTTCTCTTTCTCTTTCTATATATTTTTTTTTGTTTGCTGAGTTATTTCGGCTTGAATTTCAGCTAACCGCAGCGGAAAAGAGAAAACTGAACCGAAACAGAAACACTAGCATAGCTTTTAGTTTGTTTGCCTTGCCAGCATGTCCTTCTGTGTCCTGTGTGCACTTTGTGTGCTCAATTTTGCGTTTTCTATTTCTATTTTTAGACCAGTGCACAGTGGCAGGGCCAGGGCTTGGCGAAGGAGGGGGCGGCAGAGGGGGCTCGGTAGCAGGCAGGCGGCACACATCAATCATAGTGAAAATATGCCTCGGCAGCAATTGCATAAATTAATCAGCACTGCCAGTGTATAAATACACAATCGTCAAACAAACTTCCGTACATACACTTAGGAAAATCTTAACAAGAAGTTTATAGTGGAGAAAAATATGGAGAAGAGAGGAAATTTAAGGGAAAATAAAGGAAAGCTATGCAATTGCTTTGTCTGTTTCTAATAATATTTAATACTTTTTCTTTACTATTTACTTTATATAAGTTATCCTATTGTTTATTTGCAAATAAATTCCAAACATATATTCTTTAGTTGTAAAAGTGCATTCACCAGGGGCAGCAATTTTCCTGCCCCCGATTTACACACACACATTCAGCACCCCTTCTATGCATTGACGTCACTACTGCTGCTGTTGCTGCTGCTGCTGCTGCTGTTGCTGATGTTGCTGCTGCTGCTGCTGTTGCTGCTGCTGCAGTTGTCCTGAGCGATGCCACTGAGGATGATTATGTTGTCTTCTGGCTAGGTAAGCACCTTCTTGACCTTCCCCAAACTGTTTACACTTATCGCTGGCAAGGGTCCCCACAATACAGAGAGACGAGGGTCCTCGGCTTCAGTTCTGGGAGGTCCTCGGTTCGATTGACAGCAGCCTGCTGACGAGTGCCTCGTCCTGGGAGATGATTGTGTGAGGCGGCATGATGCATGCCTCATCGGAGCTTCACTAACTGAATCAGCTTGGAGCAAGGATAATGAGAACTGATTATCCCGATGGGGCGATGGGTTGATACTCAAACGAATACGAGTGCATAACATTTACGCAATGTCCTTTGGGGATAGTTATGTGCCCGTTAGAGCTTGCAAAGCGATAAATGATTATTGTGGCAAGTGATTTCCTTGAAATATGGATTGTAGATGTAATTCGATTTCTCTCTAAAGGTTTTATAATTATGTTCTTAGAGAGTTTATTATTGTTAAAATACAGATAAATAATCTGTCTCTCGTTGGCTTAACTTTAAAATATATTTAATCATAATTTCATACTAATACTTATATTAGATATATAAACTTAATTTAATTCTGCTAAATTATGGATTGAATCAACGCAACTAGTTGATTGTTCAATTTTAAACATTATAATATATTTATGAAGTATAGAAATTAATATCACTTTTCGCTTAAATGCTTCATAAACAGTGAACGTCGAAGAATAACTTTAAAATATAGTTTGTAAACATGTAGATTAATATACAAGACTCTTCCTTAATTTTAACAAGCAAAATAAATCAGAAAATGGATACTAGATAGTTAATTTTAGTTTTTTAAGGGTATTCTTTTACCCCCTTAAATTTAAAAATTCAGAATGTCGTCAGATTTTTGCTTTCTATTTTCCCATCCCACCTTTTGGCCATTGTCTTGCCTTCAACTTTCTGCTGTTGCACTTTGTTGGCTTTACTTGTCTGGCGGCTTGGTTTTTCACGGGTCTCCACCTGACCGATGGGTCAGTTGCTGGACGGGCTTTCCACCGCGCGGTCTGAGTCAGCTATTTTAGTGTCAAGTTTTGGCTGAATTCGCCTCTCTCGATGGCTGCCGCTGCTGTTGCCACACCGGGTGCCACCGTGCTCCCATCCTCAGGACCTGCTGCTCCTCCTGCAGGACCCAAGGCCCCGCCGGCAGCTGGAGCGGCCGGTGGCAAGGGGCCGGGAAATATCCTGGAAATTGCCGGCGAGGCAAACATAGTTAATTATATGAAGAATCGCCTGCGAAAGGGCGCCATGAAGCGCAAGGGTCTGGAGATGGTCAATGGCCATAAGTTTGGAGTGCGCTTCTTCAAGCAACCGACTTATTGCGGTCACTGCAAGGACTTTATCTGGTGAGGATTTCGAGGATACAAGTTCGAGTATGCGTTGCATAAAATTTTCGCTTGGATTTCTACGGTTTTTCCTATTTAATTTAATTAGCGCCCTGGTTGCTGACACACTTTTCGTTGTTTTTCCATTCTTTTTTCGTTGTTCTTCCGTTTCGCATTGTTGCTTTGGCGGATTTTCCGTGGACGGGATTTAGGGGCTTTGGCAAGCAAGGTTTTCAATGCGAGGGTAGGTGGAAAAGTTGATCTAAGAGGGTGTCACAGGAGAGCTTTGATTTCGAAATATACAAACAGGGCTCTGAATGCACTTATAAATGTGCCTTAAGGTATAATTTAAATTAAGATACTTGGGGTTCATTGCATTTGAAATGAATTGTATCTTAAATAAATAAAAACTTTTCTTTTGGGTTCCTTTATTCCCCTTCCTAATTAGACTCTTCTGTGACATCTTCAGCTTACATTATATCCCAATTAAGAACAATTATAATGCAATTATTATACCTTCTCAGAATGCCGCTTCAACATCCACCAAAAGTGCTGTAAGTACGTGGTGTTCAAGTGTCCTGGCAAGGACACGGACTTTGATGCAGATTGTGCCAAAGTGAAGCACGGATGGATCTCCACCACCTACACCACGCCCACTTTTTGCGACGAGTGTGGACTGCTGCTCCATGGTGTAGCCCACCAGGGGGTCAAGTGCGAGAGTGAGTTAGCAACAACTATAATTCCTTTAAACATCTTAAGTTTAACTAAAAACATTAAAGATTGTAACCTGAATGTGCATCACACCTGTAAGGAGATGGTGCCGCCCATGTGCGGTGCCGACATAAGTGAAGTCAGGGGCAAGTTACTGCTCTATGTGGAGCTGAAGGGAATAATCTGAAAGTGGATAGTAAGTGGTCAAAAGGTTGTCAAAATAATTACTAAATTAATTATTCAATTTATATTCAAAGTCAAGGAGGCAGCTAATCTCATTCCCATGGACACTAATGGCTTCAGTGATCCCTATATTGCTGTCCAGGTGCATCCGGATCGTTCGGGACGTACCAAAAAGAAGACGAAGACCATCCAAAAGAATCTCAATCCGGTTTTCAATGAGACATTAACCTTGTAAGTCTAAAATTAAACCAGAAAGGAAGTTATATTATAAAGAAGCGTAACTTTATATATCCTAATCCTAACTTTCATATAATACATATGTAAAAGAAAATTACAAATGAAGCAGAACTGCTAGTCGTCATTGCTGAGAAACTCCTCGATTTCCCTGTCGGACAGGATGCGGAAATTGGGATCACACTTGCTGACCACACCGACCTCAATGGTCGCCTCCTCACTGTCATTGCTGCGGACATGTAACAGACAGTTAATGGCTAGCTGGATGGCCTTATCCTGGGACAGATCCCTCCTGTATTTTTGCTCCAGATATTTAGTTGCTTTCACCGAATGGGTGCCCACGGCGCAGGCCTTGAAGCCGCTGCAGTTGGCACTCGGATCCGTCTTATAAACCGTGGGTCCTGTCTCGTCATCGTAAGATATCAGAATCATACAGCAACCGAGCACACGCATCAGGGAGTTCTGGGTGTGAACTTGACTGAGATTGGCCACTCGATGGCAGAGCACATCCACAGGTATCTGGTAGTCGCAGTCGCATGAGAACAGGTAGGCAATGTGCTGCGCCAGCTTCATCTGATGCAAAGCATCGCCTGTGGGATCTTTATTAATCAATCAAAGATGTTTCTCACTGTGTAGCCACATACCCATGCGGCCTACCATGCAACACCCAATGGTTTTATTAAAAGTGAACAGGTTCGATGTGCTTCGTGGCACAGCGTACTTATCAATGTTCTCCTTCTGGGTGGCCACTACGGCACAGCTGCCGCTCCTCAGCGCCACCGCAGTGATATTCTCCAGTTCGACGGCCTTTAAGGCGTACTCTGTGGCCGGATTGAGAGTTAATAAAGGAGACAAGCAGTTAAGATCGAATCTCACCCACTTGCAGGAGGCGGCCATCTGGCGTGAAGCCAGTCTCTATGACATCTGTAACTTCGCAGGACATGGTTCTTGATTCAAGTTCTTTCGAGGAATACAAATTATCTAATCTTTTAAATAGCTAAAAAATGTCACATAAATCCAGACCTTCTAAGTTCTTAAATATATAATATTATATTTATTTCTAGTGAACTGCAGCCCCAAGATCGTGAAAAGCGTCTTCTAATTGAGGTCTGGGACTGGGATCGTACCTCTCGCAACGATTTCATGGGCTCCTTTTCGTTCAGCATGGAAGAGTTACAGAAGGAGCCTATCGATGGTTGGTACAAGTTCCTCTCCCAAGTGGAGGGCGAGCACTACAATATTCCCTGTGTGGATGCCATCAATGATATGGCCCGACTACGCGATGAAGTTAGGGTAAGGAATAGCAAACCCTTGCTTCCTGAATCCTTAAATAATCTTGGGAAATCCGCAGCACGATCGTCGGCCGAATGACAAGCGTCGCATGGACAACAAGGACATGCCGCATAATATGAGCAAACGGGATATGATCCGTGCTGCTGACTTTAACTTTGTCAAGGTAATTGGCAAGGGATCCTTTGGCAAGGTTCTGCTGGCCGAACGTCGTGGCACTGATGAACTGTATGCGGTGAAGGTATTGCGCAAGGATGTCATCATACAAACGGATGACATGGAGCTGCCCATGAATGAGAAAAGGATTTTGGCATTGTCAGGTCGTCCTCCATTCCTCGTTTCCATGCACTCCTGTTTCCAGACCATGGATCGTTTATTCTTTGTTATGGAGTACTGCAAGGGCGGTGATCTTATGTATCATATGCAGCAATATGGAAGGTTCAAGGAGTCGGTTGCCATGTGAGTGGAAATATGATTTAAGGATCTACAAATAGATTAATGGATATGGTATAAGGAAGCTTCAAATCCTTATTATAATCTTTTTTGTTTAATTTAGTTTGTTCCTGATTTAAATCAAAATCTATTTGCTTTCCAGTTTCTATGCCGTAGAGGTGGCCATTGCCTTGTTCTTCCTGCATGAAAGGGACATCATCTATAGGGATTTGAAGCTGGATAATATTCTCTTGGATGGTGAGGGTCATGTGAAGCTGGTTGATTTTGGTCTAGCAAGGAGGGTGTGACCGAGCGTCAATCCACGCGCACTTTCTGTGGCACTCCAAGTTACATGGCACCGGAGGTAGTTTATTTAAATCATATTTACAATTTCTTAATAAAAGTAGTCTTTTTTCAGATTGTTAGCTATGACCCTTACTCCACCACAGCTGATTGGTGGTCTTATGGGGTATTGCTCTTTGAATTCATGGCTGGACAAGCGCCCTTTGAGGGCGATGATGAGACCACAATTTTCAGGAATATCAAAGAAAAGAAAGCCGTGTTTCCCAAGCATTTTAGTCAAGAGGCCATGGATATTATAACCAGTGTAAGTATTAATAAGTGTGAAATAAATATAGAATTAATTTATAATTTTAAAACTCTTATAGTTCCTGGCCAAAAAGCCAAACAATCGCTTGGGCGCTGGTCGCTATGCCAGACAGGAGATAACCACGCATCCTTTCTTCCGGAATATTGATTGGGATAAGGCCGAGGCTGGTGAAATGGAGCCACCAATAAGACCCAAGATTGTAAGTTTAACTCTAACCTGAAAACTATAACTTCAAGTGTCTTATATTTCTCTTAATTAACCAGAAACATCGCAAGGACATTTGCAACTTTGATGAGGCATTCACCAAGGAGAAAACGGATTTAACCCCCACTGACAAGCTTTTTATGATGAATCTGGACCAGAACGATTTTATAGGATTCTCGTTTATGAATCCTGAGTTTATAACCATTATCTAAAATGTGGGCTAAGAGAGCTTTCAAGGATATTCAAGCTAAAAGTTGCCTTATACAACTTGATATACTTTGTCCTGTGCTTAAACCTTGATAAACTTGATGGAAAAGCTTGTAAAGTACGGTGTTTATTATTTCAGCTACTTTATTTTTCAGCGAGCTTAGTTTTTGAACTTGAATTAAAGAGCTTTGGCTCTCTTTTTTGACAAAAGTGGCTGCTATTTAGCATTAAGATAACATTGTGGAGCCCAGATAGTAAAAGAAAACAGAGAGAATTCCGCAGCACCAGCTGACTTTCTCCCTCTCTCCCTCTGTCTCTTTTCTCTCTCAGCATGGAGGGGAAAACTGTGGGAAAACTCACCATACGAGAGCACCTGAATTAGTTACGCATACGCCGCGTGTGCACCGCGAAAGAGGAAACCCTTGACAGGAAGTTTCAAGATTGTTGCTGCCAGGCTAACTAACTAACTAACTAACTTTGGCTGAAATCTAAACTCATCAACAAGACCAAATTCACAACTTATGTTCTTTTGGGGGTAAAACTTACCCTTAAGGCCCGAAACTTGTTGCTGCATTCCGCGGGTTCTAATGAAATTTCAGCCAAGATATTCGACGAAATCCATTTAGCTACTGCGAGAGTAAAATTGCTTCGAAAATCGCTTTTTGGCACAACACCATCACCGCACTGAAGCCAAGAAAAGGTGAGCCAAAGGACCGGAAAGCGAATTTCTCGGTTTGGCAAATAGTTTTCCGGTGGCACGGGAAATATGTCTTTGGCCACATTTTAATAACAAATTCCCTGGCGGGGCAAAGAATGTCGACGGATATTTGTGATTTAAGGGACGCGATGCCAAAAACGATTCCAAGGTGAATGCAATTTTCCGTTTTCTGTCCTGTGATTTGCTCGGGCTTTAACTGAATTTCCCACTGATTCGCAGCTTTACAGTTTCCTTTTTCGATGGCACAGCATCCTCTGCTGGAAACTGTTTGCACTCTATTAGCGGCAATTTGCGGGTTTACGTGCACTTTTCACGGCTTTTAGACACGTTCCAATGTCTCTTTGGTTGCACAGCATACAGAGGCGACTTTGGCTTTGGCGTTGTGTCCTTGTGGCGGTATTTCCTCGCTGCATCCCCATCCATCGCATCCTGTGGCTTTGCCACCACTACTTCCAACAGCAGCACCATGTCCTTTGGCCTCCGCTCTTTGGCCGGTCCACGGCTCGTGTCGGCCATGTTGGAGTTTGGCTCTGGCATTAGGATGTACTAAAGTGCTTAACACAATATAAATAATGGCCCGAACGAGATACATATAAATTGTGCGGTGTAATAAAACGCAACATAGTTTGCCATGTCCTTGCTGATCTGTCTCTTGCTGTTCGCCGGCTAATGAAGCCTTGAAAGGAGCAGCGGATGTCGTTGAGTGGCCAAATTGTCAGCTTATAAATCAGCCGTCTAGGAGATCTCGATAAGCGTGAAAGAAAAGCTCTAAAAAGACTATCAGTTGATGGGGGATGGTTTAGGCCATGGCAGCAGGATTTACTAACTGAAAAACTTTTGTGGCTTCCACTTGGGGTCGCCCCCTCCTTCCGGGGTTGGAATATATAATTTAAATAGCACCCACGATGAGTTTATTATTCCAAAGTTGTAAATGATTATGGCCTTGTCATGTTTCGCCCTTGATGAGCTCGACTCGAACTATTTAAAATGGAAAATGTGTATTGACCAATATAGCTGAGGTTAAAGTTTTGGTGACCTCAACTTGGTATTGCAAAATATTAAACAGTCCCTTAAATTATTTACAAGTAAAAAAACATGTGCTTAATAGTTTATGGCATTTCAATGAGCTTGGTTATTTATATGAAATATGAATGAGTTTTAAAATAAAAGCTTCTCTAAGTCTAACATTATATAAATATTTATTTATTTATTGAACTGACCATTATATAAAACTATAAATTCTATAGAATCGTAGCTAAAAGGTTTTCCTTTAGTTTACTTAACAAAACTCTTTTCAATTGCTTCCCAAGCAGGAATATTTGCTTGACATCTTGTGACCTCAATTTCAACAATTTAAATGGACAAATCTGTTGGACAAACCGCATTGTTGTTGAGCTTCAACTTTTGATGACCCTGAATTGTTATTGCCGCCTGCCAACTTGCCAACTTACGGACGAGTATGTATATGCCTGCAGTCTGTCAATGTCCACCATTAAATGGGTTTAGCTTACAAATTGGCCAGCATTACAGGGAGGACAAGACGAGACTGAAAGGCAACCGCAGTGTTTCCTCCCCCCTAAACAATCAACTCTTTGAGCTAAGTTATTTATGCTGGGTCTGCCAATCTGTTTGCCACACTTCGCTGGCCGTTCTGTTGCCTCAATTCGAATGCAAATTTGTGTATATAGTAAATATATATACATGTAATGTTCTAACACGATAACGATGAAATTGTTACGCTTTACCAAGTGCGTTTCTTATTCATGTCTATCTCTCTCGGCTACTCTTGTGTGCACCCAATACCTGTGGTCGTCTGTGGAGTCCCCATTCTTGTACTTCCCCCTGCTTCCTTTTCTCGGTTGCCAGCGCTATCTGTCTGTTTCATACACTGTCACTTCCGTTTCCGCCTGAGCACCCGGACTCAATGTGCCCACCCCTCCTCCATTACCATTCCTCCGAGGGCCACATATTTTTCTTCCTTTTTTTTTTCTTACTGCCACTAACTGCTCTGGCACTTGGCCATTCCTCCTCCTTTTCATATCCCTCGGTCTTATGAGCTGCTGATGGCCATTTGGGAGAGCGGGAGGGCCGGCAATGACATGCATATGGTTTCGGGCCATGGATAGGCCCATAAAAGCCACAAAAGCCGCTGAATATTGTCATGAATTAGCTGCAAGCTGGTGTACTTGGTTTGGCACTGGCAAAAAGTGTCACAGAAAATGATAACCAACTCGAGTTTAGCTGTAATAACTTGCCTGAGCTTGGGGATGCTTGGGATCCTTTCGAAATTAACGGTAAGTAAGGGTTAATAAAGCTAGTTTATAGCTTTTTAAGGTTTTTAATTCAGAATAATTGTATTTCATCCTTAACAACAAGAGCATACACAAAATAACATTCGTTTCTTTCAGTGTCAAGAGCGAATGAATTTCGTTTAGGCCTAATTTCATTGTTGTCCGGATGGCAGAGTGGATTTATCAGCTAAGTGAGTCTCTGGGCCTTGGCTAAATATTTAAACCGTCTCCCAGGTGGCCCTGAGTCCTGGCTGTTGTCCTGCCTGAATGGTGCTCGTGCTCCTCCTGTTGCATTTGGCCCGCGGCCTCATTCAAAATGCAGGCACGGCCTGCGGAATTGTTGGCAGCTGCACGTGGCGCCAGTTTCTGGCACTTAAACAAACAAACTGTTGCCCTTTCCCTCTCGGAGAAGTGTGTGTGTGTGTTCAAGTCATTGTCCCTGCTTTCACGTATCCTTCCACTTTGTTGCCCTTTTTCACAGCTGTGTGCCATTTGGCAGTCGCCCAGATGCAAAGTGCAGGCAAACATTTTAAGCCATTTTCCAGCTTCAATGATCGAGACAGAGAACGGATGGCTGGGAAATTTAGTTCTCTTCCCCCACCCTCAGCCCCGCTAGTGCAAGTGCGAAAAACTATGCTTCCCCAGATGGCAGTCCATTGCCATTTCCCTCCATAATCAAATAAATTACGGAGCAAGTCAAGCGCAAGGCAGAAATGAGTGAAATAAAAAAAAGGAAAACCTCCAGCCAGCACTGAAATAAATATATATATATTTACATAATCCCGGAGAACCGTAATAAAATCTACCAAAATAAAAACAAATTTCAAATGAGCCACTATAAAAAAATACAGAGACTGTGTTTGCCGGATGAGGACTAGCGACGAGTGAAATTTTACTTTACAACCACATTTCCCTAGGAAAAGTGATCGCTTTTATGGCTTAAATACTTGAAAACATATATAGTATAACAGACATTTATTGGGGGACTTTTGTAAGAAAGAATACAAAAGGAAAACACGAAAGATAAGCCCAAGGATTGGTGGTTCTTTGATACTTATTATAAGTAGTAAAAATAATGTTATGTTAAAGTTATTACTAAGAAATTTAGGGGTTTATTATGTAGAATATATTAAATTTTATAGAAGAAAACTTTGAAACCTAATTAAGTTCAATCACTATTTAGATATCTGATATAACAGTGTAAAATACAGTACTAAGTGCTTCAAGTCTGTTGTTTTATTTGTGGAAATCGTAATTAAAACCTGGCAATCGATACAGCTTACATGAAAATTCAGCACGAAAACCTTAAATACAATTTAATTTTAATAGGTATTGTTGAACAAATAGAAATGAAAAAATAATTTCCATTCAAATATGCATATTTGCTTTGTGTATGTTAAATTAAAATACAATTCTGCACAATTGAACCCAGTATTTTCTTGGAAAACGCATTAAAAAATCTGGGCTTCTATAGTACTGAGCATCACGTTTCTCATCGAATTCCCGAAAACCAATAAAAACGTATTTATATTCCTGTTCTTCTCAGACGAAAACAAATCTTTTTAAAGGTGGGATTTCATTTAAAGTGAATTTTGCACGGCAAAGTCTTCATGGCACATGCCATCAATCTCTAGACACACAGGCGACTAATAAACACAAACAAAATACACAAATAGAAAATTTCACGGGGCTTGTGCTGAGGGAAAACGTTGCATATATGTATGTTTGTGTGTGCGGTATACAAACACACACAAAAGCTGCTTTTATAGACCAAACGTGATGGTTAAGTGAGGGCAGAACGCCAGGGGCGGTGCAGAAGAAAAGGGGAACGACGCCTTTGTCTTAGTTCCCCTAGAAGAAACTTGATGGAGCAACTTGCGGGCTGTAACAAAGGAGAATTATAAAATAAAAACTTAAAGTTGTCAGGTTTTTCTTTTTTTTTTTTTTGTAAAGAACCCCCATGTAAAAAGATTGTCCTGCCACGCAAAACTTTCAAACACATAGAGCAGCATATGGGCTTTTTCACAGAGCAATAATTAAAGGGAACAGTAAAACTCATCAGGAATGTATTTCTATATCCACAAGTTGATTTGTATATTTAGAGAAATA